CGTGTTTAATAGAATTTGCAGTACATGGTAATGATAATAAATATTGGTAATAATAGTGGTAATTGTAATTGACGTTAACATGCCAGCAATGCAAAGTAACGACACACGATTAATTACTCATCGTCAGCCCTCGTTTCCTCCGGCAATTCAATACCCATGATGTCCGTGATAAAATCTTTGTAAGATATCCTCTGTATCATAAAATAATAATACATTACTTTCGGCGAGCCTAAGTGTCTCCCTTTCATTTTTGTTTTTTCTTTTATTACACGTTGCTCGTGGGATATTTTAATTGTTCGTTCGATGTGTATCGTTATCGGACTGCGAACACATTGCAGAGGCTCGATGGAATTCGAATTGAATTTTCTGTTAGGATGTCCGTTTCATTGTATTGTTTCAAATGCGTACGATTCGCAGCCCGATAACTATTCTTTTCAAGTAACTGACCATTTTTTATTGTCTTTTAAATTATTATGTTTTTAACGAATTGTTGGTTGTCGACGAGATTTTTCCGTTGAAATGTTACGTGGGAATAAGAACGAAGAGAACATCAGATCTTGGTTAAATATATGAACGTAATTTACTGAACAGTTAAGAACTTTTTTATTTGATATTGTTTTCTTTCTTTTTAAGTATTCCTGTTTGTAGAAATTTTGTAAATTACCGACTTCGCGTGTTCACGTTATTTTCATTGGAATGAGTTACGATCCTATCGGTTTATTTCAATAAAACAATGTACAATTATTTTAACGAGTGATATTATTCTTAAGGAAATTTTTATTTTTCTGTTTTCTTTTTGAAAGGTTGTACGAATGTGCTAAACGATTTTTAAATTTAAACGAACTATACATAAAATAGGAAATAGGAAAAGGTTTAAGAAATGAAAAGTAACATTTATGTTACAAGTAATAAGTTTTCATAGTATCTTTTCTTTTAAGTTTCACGTAGAATAAAGAAATTTCTATATATGTTTATAAATTACTAAATAATGGTGCTCTTATGTATTTTTAATTTAGTGTTGGAATATGTATTTATACGAAGTGTCGAGTTAATTAATTCTGTATACCTCTGGTAAAAATGTTAATTTCTGCGATGCAGATCGTTTCTCTTTATTCTGACCATGCATATCATTTGCATCGTTAACACAGCCGATTAGCAGTTTCAGGTACGTATACGCCTCTTGTTGAATTAATGGTTCCCCTGAAAATAAATGTTACATAATTACAATTATTATTTGCGTTGAATTCATTGCGAAAATCGAATGTCTTCCAATGGAAATGAAAATTAACCGAAGTCCTTGCTCCTCGGTTGTGGCTCCTCGACAGGACCTTTTCCAAACAGAACATTTTGAAACTGATTGCGCGTCAATACCGGATTTTCTGTTTGTAGAAACGGAATTCTGCTGGGATTCACGAAGTCCTGGAAAGCTTCCTTCAGCTGGCGTAAAGAAATACCAAAAGCTGGTCGATGGTTTATATAAAATTTAACAAACTCTTCGAATGTTATTTCTTCGATCATTTCCCCAGTCTCTGCGTAGTTTCTATAAGAGATCTCATTCATAAGAATTTCTATCTGAAATTTTAAAGACCAATGATATTCGATTAAAATAATCGAAATATTATCTATGTATTATAATTACAAGAAACTGACAATATAGTTTAAACTGAGGTTATAAAAATCAAATAACCAATCAATTGCAGTAGACACAGTTTTGTAATATTTGCTGAGAGAAAATATTTAATTTTGTTTCATTAAATGTTCCAATAACGTTTAAAATAATCATTTAATCTTTCCGAATAATAAACGAAATTTGTTGACTTTACTATTTGTAATTTTGCTTGTAAATAGATTTTACTAAAAATAACGTTCTATTTTTATTAGTACTTATAATATATTCTTAACGAGTAAGAAATTAAAAAAAGAATTTTGTAATTGAAAAAATCGTTACGTCTTCGTTAGTGGGATAAAATCCGATGGCACGCATGAGATTTGGTATTTGCTTGGTGGCCATTTTTTCAGACACTATTCTGGTCTGCACTGTGTTTTCGCCTTGTTGCAAAATTTGAGCGTAGTAGAAGAAATCTTTGATTTCACGAATGAACCAACCTTTTCTTCCTCCATCGAGGAGACAATAATATGGGGACAGGCCCTGGCCTCCTAAATGTTCTAATACGTCAACAGATCTAAAATCAGTCAGCAAGAAACTAAAGTAGATAATTAGCACTCTAACCGTACCGGCGCATTATATACACTTATTTCAACTGTAACCGGTCGAATAACTAGTTATAAAATTTAAGATAAATAAGATAAACAATCAATTTTTTTAGTGGAAACGAATACAAAAGGAAAAATAAAAATTTAAAAGCTGATTAATCTGACAATATAAGAATTGATATAAAGTTAAATGGACGAAAGAAAATGCAAAATTTTTAATTAAATTTATAAATCGGTCACGGTATGTTTAATGCTAACACGGAAAAGAAAACAGTATTGACGAAAGAATGGATATTCAAATTTCATTGTGTAAACGATCAAAATTGAATAATGCTACAACCAGTAATCATATAAATGATTACATTTCTATTGAGCGCTACTTTCAAATGAGAACTATGAGAAATTAAATGTTTCATTTTTGAAATCGAATACTTACAGGATAAACTGAACTTTCAATTTCTATTTATTGTGAAAATAGAGTAAATGATTAAAAAACAAATGTTAGATAATATACAGATTTAAATGTGTAATGCTCGAGTATTACCTGCATTCGATTTTCCACATCAAGACACAGGGATCTTTATAACCAGATGTAAACAAGATGTTACCATTGCAATTAACGCAAATTTTAGTAATCTGTTAAAAAAAGGATTTATAAAAATTGTGAATAATTGAAGTGCGTGTTCAGCAATTGATTTTCAATACTTTTCGAGGGTGTCCTATCATTCCTAAGGTCTTGTAAGGATTGCCATCGAAAGGAAGTATTTGAAGGCCGAATTCCTTCTCAGTTGCAAATACTACGTATCTATTTCTTTTAAATACTTTACTGTGTAATACCTGCAAAGTACTTAACAGCTTTATTCACCTGTACTATTAATTTTTGTGTATATTTATATACCTCGAAATGTTGGACTGGTGCACCGAAAATTGGGCCCAGAAATGTTCCTCGAATCATTTTAGTAACATCGTTCAGCAATCGGTATTTATACTTGCAAAATAATTATAATATGAAAGTAATTCAATTAATCACGTGCAAAATGTAATTTAGAGGTACATATACACAATAAACAAACATATGGAACAATTTTTCTTATATTTCCTTTTTATGAAGAAATTGTACTGCATTTCATTGCAATAAAAACACAATATAACGCAACAAAAATTTGAATTGCGGAAAGTGTTTTAATCTTTTTTGCAGCAGTGCAGAATAATACTTATCGTAGAATTGTTTGTTTGAATACGTTTGAAATTGTTACCTCTGAGTTAGAGATCATGAGAAATCTTTCGATACCAAATTCAGGGTACCAGGCCAGACAAAGAGGAATCGCAGAACACTCGATCTGATGGACTTCGCTTATCATAAGACCAGGTTCAGGATAGGGACCACTGTACAATAGAATTCAATGTTTGAATTTAAATGAAAATTTTAATTTAAAAGATAGCGAAAGAAACAATTTTTCTTTGATTTTTGTAATTATTGATGGAAGCTAACATTTTTACTGCCTTTCTTCCACTATTTTGAAAGCTGGGTAGACTCGTTTCATTTAAATTGTTAATATAATACAAATTATTGACATTTTAAGTAAGATTACGGTTATAATACAATTTTGAAGACTTTGAAGATACCTATTTTTAAGATCGTATTCAACCAATTTCTTATCTTCCCCTAAGGAGAATAATCGAGGTGTAATACTGATAGAGGTAGCTGAACCAAACAATATGTCTGTTATCGTTGCCAAGTGTGTACGATACTTTCCAAGGAAATCCCATGGATGATTCAAGAATAGGTCATGATTTTTTTTAAATACCGCTACTACCAAATTATTATCCTGAAAATATTAGACTTACATTATTTTATGTGATTAAAACTTCATTAATGAAATGAGTAGTAATTCTAAGAATATTCTTGTAATGTTAAATAATACAATAAATATTATTAAATTAAATATTAAATATTACGATATATTGATAATATAATGATTGCGAAACAGTATCGAGGAATTTTAATAATTTAACTCATTAATTAAGACAATTAAGATTGTATTAATATTTACCGAATACGCCATGTATTCCGCACACTCTGTGAATGTTAATTTAATTATAGACTCCGTGGAATGTTTGTACGGAATATTGTGAAGGCGTTCCAAAGTTATAGGATGCAATATCCAAAGTATTCCATTATCAAGACCACAGATAAGTTGATCCCCTATGCGTAATTGAAATTTGAATAATAAATTATATAATATTTTACAGATACTGGGAGAAATCCAGCAATTTCATATTTTAAAGTAATAATCATGCGAATAAAATAAAATTACATGAATCTAGACCTTCAAATCAGTTTTTAATTTCAATGTATTCAGATTAATTGGCCAAGGCAATGAAATCTTTATTTATAGTTATATTCTCATGTAGCGACAATGATCGCTGGATCCTCTTTTATATTATAATTAATCCATCAAACATTATATATACTACAACCAATCGATTAAAAATTATTTTTATTATAATAAATAGATTAGTAAAATTATAGAATGGAAAACTTGGGAGACTGAAATAACGTTTCGTTTTATTTTTAATTTATTTAAACTATTCATGGGAGGAACAGAATTTTATTTAATTTCAATTTCTTCGAAATTGCTTATAAGAATGGGTATTTGCGTATAGTTTTAAAGATTGCTAATTAATGAGATGTTTACCTAACGGTGAATATTTTAGCACGGAAATACCCGACAATCTAGTGCTGCCTTGCGGGCTTGTGACATACGTTATACTACCAGTTTTTACTTGTTTCTCGAGGATCATATTGATATCTGGTACCGGAGGGACTTTTCTACATAAAATAAGTTTCCGTTTGCTGTACTCGTACAAGCACAAGAAACCCTGCGCGTTTCCCGTGACTATATAATCGCTTTAAATGAGAAATCTAATGTTACCAATATACTTATGAATAGATAATTCTGATATCAATTTATAATAAATATTTCTTCAATTAAATTTTAATTATTTTCAATAAATACGAATCAAAGTAGTACATGTTTCCATAGAAAACGTAAGTATTAATACGTATGGTATTGATTATAATATTATATTGGAATGTGCGAAACACGTGTATCTGTTGTTTAGAAAAAATGTTAAGTACCTTCGGGGATGTGCATCTAAACTGGTAATAGGTAAACCTGCGTCACGCGAGAAAAATTGGCACTTGAGCGTCGGTATGTCTATCAACGCGATTACTCCGGTAGCAGAACCTTCATAAGATATCATAATTTACTAGATATTAAATAATATTATTTTATTAAATATTAATAGTACAATCGTGCGTAAATATTATTTACTAATTTCTATCTGTTTTTTTTTACTATTAACTGAATATTAATAATAAAGTCACATTTAAATACTATCTACTAATACATTTGCAAAGAAGTGGTTGCATTTAATATTTAGCACATTATTATCTAAATTAAAGAAATAATTTTGATGTTCTTACTGACAAAAAAGGAGTCGACATAAAATGGCGCGTTTTCAAAGGTAGCATCCCGTGCGACATGAGGAGGTTGAATAAACGGTTCTTGTTTATTGTCATGATCTCTGTACATGTATTCTAAGTTTATAGTCATCGTAGATGATGCATCGTCTTCATATGATATTGGCTCAATTTCCATCACTTTCATATATTCAATCTTTTCCTGGCATAATTTACTCTGCATTTGTTGTAGTTCTTCTTTTTCTTCTTCTTCTTCTTCGAACTCAAAATCATCAGTATCATTGAACTCTACAACAGGCAACACATTTTTTGTTGTATATGATTCTATGTAAAGTACATTTTTACTCTGTTTAATTTTAAAAACTATGAATATCCTTTTTAGAAGATCGTGAATCACTTTTCTTGAATTTTCAACCAATTTTTGTGGATAATTGTTAACAGATAATAAACTTCTTACCAGATACTTTGGTAGTAGCTTCAGGACCCAATAGGACGGATGGAAGTTTAAAACTAATCGATCGTATAAAATTTAGGCCACAATTGTGTATCCAATAGAGCAGTCTTAGTTCAAGGTCATAAAAGTTAATTCGACCTTCCATAGTTCCCACTACTATCATTCTAAAATCAAATATTGAGATATAATAGTTAGGTTAATTGGTAATTACCTTCTTCTAGAAATTTTGTATATACAAACATATAATAATGAAACATTACGCATTATGATGCAGTATAACATTAATGCAACATTTTTGCAATCGCATGGACTTAATGTGTTTCATTTTTTCCTTCTTTTTACCACGTTCCTTTTCAGGAATTGCACACCAAACCAGAACGTATCCTGCATATAGTAACATATAACAAATAAGATTCTGCAAATGAATGTGAATAGTATAATGTTTTATCAAATTTATCTAAAATATAACTGATTCTTTCTAATATAGAGTAATACGACAGTAAATTATTGACTTGAAATGTGTATAATTTTTTTTTTAAATTATACAAGAACATACATTTAACGTAGAATATTTTCATTTTTTCTTATTATGCGAGTTTCCAATAATTCTACTGATTAAATATTCTTATAAGATCAATCTTCTTATAAAATATATTATAAATATTATTTAATATTGAACTTTTCTATTTTCCAGAGAAAACGGAGAATTGGAAATACCGTTTGATGTCGCAGTTAACGTGCGTTGCACATTCGGCACGTGACAAGAACAATTCAAGATCCCGTAACGTCGTACGTTTCCAGCAATCTTTGGGCAATAATATCTCAACTTGGACCCATCCTATGAAATAAATTACACAAATTATTTAAATGTTTTGAATTAAATACCAAATGTTGAAATTTCCCTACATTTTGTCTTTTCAATATACGTTTACTATAGCAAATTAATAACATTTATATTCCGACATTTGATATTTTCAAAATAATCATTTTTGTTATTCATACAAACCCAAGAAAGAAATACGATATTGTTATCGCCAGTCAAAACAAATTCCTCGATTATGTCTTCATTGAAACATATTTCCTTTATTCTGTCCCCAAAGATTTTAGTCAGCTCCACAGACGCTATAAATCATTTTTTCAGAATCATCTGATGCATATCATTGTTAAATGTTGCAATTCATTCAATAAATTAACCGTCTGGCTCGTCTTTCCCGTAAGTCCACATCCAAAATTGCACCTTTTGATATTTTTCATTGCCAACAGTCACTATGTACTTCGCATTCGGACTAATTCTTGCGGCTGTAAGATCATTTGCTCCGTGCGGATTGAAGAGTGTGCAAATCGGTAAACTATGAAGAAAGTATATTAAAAAATAAGAACCAAGAATATTTATACATTATGTGTATTGTAAAAAATATAATTGTATATCATTAAATTGCTAAATAAAATTAGTCTTATATGGCAAAAAAAAATATTCTACATGCATAAAAAAAATTCTTTCTTTTCCATTTGGTATTACAAGGCGATAGGGATTAAATGTTTTTAAAATATTTTTAAGATAGTTTAGTTAATTCGATACATTTACACTAATTATATTTATTACTCTTGCTATAACTTTCTTTATATTAGTTTCATTTTATTACCCTCGCTCGGTGTCCCAAACGACGACCACAGGATCACTTTCGAAATCTGCCGTTAACAACCATTTTCCGTCGTTCGAAATCGAAAGAGTTGCCACCGCGTGTTGCTGTTAAGTTAGATAATTGTTAATTAAATAGAAAACGATTACAGCAAAAGTAAACAAGCGATTACGCACGTGGCCTTGAAGCGTGATCGCCGTTTTCGATTCGTAGTTGTAAAGTATTACAGCATGGGAGCAAGCGTAAGCGATCATAGTCCGGTTGATCGTAGACAAATTGATTAGAGGCACTTCTGGGTTCATTCCAAACGACCATAATAATTTCTGATTGCATTTGAACAGAGGAAATTAATTAAACTTGCCAAAACTAAAAGTACATGAAAAAAGTTTCAATCTTAAAATATTGATCTTTCGGTACATTATTATTTATTAAGCACATCTCACCATTTTCTATAAATTAAAAGTATATTATAAGAAATAACTTCCGACAACATTTCGATGGAAAAATAAAAATCTTACAATTATAATAATTTTATATACTTTCCTAATCATTTGAATGCAAACATTGCCACAAAAATTATTTTCAATATAAATATACTTTTCAGTATTAATAATTTCACCAAATAATATCCATAAACCGTAAAGAAACAACATAATAATAAGAGATATATTAGAATAATATTTTTTCTTTTCATTATATATCTAACCCATCGAAAAGTTACTTTAAAAAATTATTGAATCGCTAACAAAAGGGCATAGCTCTAGCTTTTTAGGATTCTTCTCCGCAGACTTCTCATCCTCGGAAGACGATGTCGAAGTAGAATTCGAAGTCATTTCTATCAGGAAACGTCTTGAAAGAAACGGGATCTGTACTATTTGAAGTGAAACAAACGTCGTTATTCAACATTTTCCTCGAGCAATTCGTTCTGATACGCCCAATAAAAGGAACCTGCTTTATTTTCGAACGATAAAGACGGAATCTCGGCGAAGATGAATCGACGATTCCTGGTCGATCATCCTCCACGTCTTTATTGATTCAACGTTTAAACGAATTACGCTCCCCCTCCGCCCCCGTTCGTTGTTAATTTCAACGTTGTCGGAGATCGAGCGACATGCCCGACCTTTGTTATCAAAACCGCCGAAGCGCTGTTTATTGTATTGAGCAGTGACTGACCCAATAATGTGCCCGACTCGATCGAAAGTCATGCTACGTGCGAAAAAACTCGAAAAAGTCTAGTGTTCCGTGTAAAATTCACGCTCCGACGAAATTGAATTGGTGAAAGGGGAAATCCAATAATTATAATATCGATTTGTTAGTACCGCAGCAATGGAGCTATTGTGTGTCATCTTTCTGTGCGTCGCTTTTATCCCGGGCAAACACGAATCGGCACCAGTCCCTTCGAAAGGGAACGGCACTTCGGTGTCGTTGTCCGCGGTAGGTGAAATCCAAGTAATTAGCTTAACAATAGATTTATGGAACAAGCCAATTTCACTAATATTAAATTTTATAAACATCTAATTAAGATCTAAATGAACGAATATCAATTTTTCTAAGAACTATAGAACAAACTGTACAGCAGATGTCCGTAAATCTAGCGTTAAATGAATTATGTCGAAATTTCTTAATGAAAGTTAATGCAATTTTTAATTCAATGATTCTAGTGAATATTGTGATACTATGTATATAAACTTTGAACTTATTATATTGTAGCTAAGCTTTTTACTTCTTAACATATACGTATTTTTTCCTGAATGTATTTTCTAAATTATAAACGGCCGCTGTTTCGTGAAAAGTAGATTGCCTTCGCGGAATAGTAAATTGTTAGTTGAAGCACACGATCAACGATAAATATCTTGCATAACTTTGCATTGAAAAATTGTTACAGAATAATTGCGACATAATTCATTTTATACGTCGCTGTATTCAACACAGAGACTACACTAAACTGACTTTATTTCATTTTCTTTATTGACTTTATTAGAAACTTTAAAAATGCCTCTATTGAGATTTCGAATCATTTATTACTCAGTTTATGCATTAATGAATCAATTTCTTTAATAACTTCTTAGAGAAGCATTTGTTGCCTTTTGAATAATAAATTTTTGACCTATCTGGTTGTTCATTCTAATTTTTGAAAATACTTTGTTATACACTAGGAATATTTTTAAATAATAATCTGTATTTAAAATAGTATAATCTATGTGTTACGGGAGTTTTGTTGGAGCATCAATCAACAGAATGATCAATTAAGGAAGAGAAGCCTTATTTACGTAAAATATTTTCATCTCGCTTGTGATTTCTCTTCGTGTGAATCATAATTCCCCGTCGTGTACGTTGTCTTCGGGTTATTACTTAATATTTATAGATTACGTTCGGTTAGTGAACTTTAGAAATGCCTTTAAGACGGTGGTACATAGAGTACGTAATGCAGAAGCAACAATATATAAATTAAAATATAGAATAATATTTGACTAATCTTTGTATGATTGCGCAGATGGATTTTATGAAAAAATATGGCTACCTAGAAGGGGGTACCGCTGATTCGGACGCGCTTTACAAGGAAAGCGCTATAACGGAAGCAGTGAAAACTTTACAGAAATTCGGCAATATTCCAGTTACAGGACAACTGGACAACGCTACGCTGAAGGTGTGCTCATTTTATTTCTAATACATTTCCATGCAACAAACTAACATGTTTTCACAAATATCTTTATTTCTTTCTAAATCCTTACCGACTTATATAGATCTTACTTAAATTGACCCTTTGCACTCCGAAGTTTTGTAATAGAAATACTCGACACTCTTTTGGATAAAATGTAGACGATATTTTTTTTAAAGTAACTTCACGAGAAATTACACGTAAATTAAGGAACAAAGTTGTTTTATCAGCTCACGTATCGATGCATTATACGAAACTTAATAGTAAATATCCAACATTATAATTGTGCTCTATGGAATCGATTTCATTTCTCAAATTTCTTTATTCGTGAAAGCAATCATGATCATCCGTCATTTTGTTTTGTCTACTTGAAATATCTATAAGATATTATCAATATATTAAATCATCGCATTTCTATCAGCAAAACTGTTCTGTTTCCGATTGAAATACAAAATTCAGTGACTTTCTCTCTCTTATAAGTAGATTGCATATTTCATGTTGCACATTCGTTGCAGCTGATGGCAGCTCCACGATGCGGCGTCGTCGACATCTTAAGGAAGAAGGAAGATCAGCAGGATCAGCAGATTATAGAAAAAGAGACAATAGGTGTTAACGAGTAATCGCGTATTAGATGCGTAGCAGCTGCAGAGGAAAGAAGGAAATAATTACACATTATTAAGTGCGTTCTCATTAGACCCAGCGTCGTCAATTGGACGTGAGAGCTGGCAGCAGTACCAGTTCTAAACTGGTATAGAAAATTCAAACAGTTTTCAGTACACGAAGTCAAACGTAGAATTTGTAAAATAAACATATTTCTAATAAGAGGAAAAGCACCTGCCATACGACTTTTACTTCGATCTATATTTATTCACAGACGAACGCTAACGTTCTTCGAAATTCAGATTCTTGTCGGGTGAAGGTCGTTTCAGAGCGTTTACATCCAACCACTTTATTAAAATACAAGAGGGTACAACGTTTTTTCAAATATATGTCAAACGAAAAATAATACGATAGGCAACAGAACATAGATGAATGCTGAATGCGTGATACAGCCAGAAGTTTGAGACATTGTTAGCGAGTTGACATTTCCTTCTGAAGATGGTTCGCGGGATTTATTTGTTGCTGGAAGAGGTCTCTCCATCGAGCAGGCGGTATTCTTTATGGCCTCCCGCACGGAACCTTTGAGGATCCGGAAGTTATAGTCGTCGGGGTTCAAATGGGAATACATGAAACTCGGTAAACGATCCGAGAGAACCCAAATTTGCCCCTCTCGATCGATCTGTAACGGAAACGTGTACACATATATATAATTTTAAACTTTTGGAACATTGAATAAATGAAATAAAAATCTTGTATATAGCTTCAGAATTACTTGCGATCACGTGTTGCTATTGATCTATTACAATACAAATTAAACTATGAAATCTTAACGAGATTATAAATTTCAATAAAATATACAGGATTATTTACTGAATTTTTGTATTTCACTTAATTTTACCTGAAATATATACTTACTTTCAAAACTGTTATTTTATCTAATCGCTTTTTATACATGCAATACATAAATAATAGTTAAATATAAAAGAATATATAATAATTTAAAATATACAAAACAAACTAACGATTTCTAAAGAATCTCACGTATAACCCTGAAGTTTTATTGCTATCAATGAAGTGTTTTAAGCGTAAATATTTCAATAATCCTAGATAACCAGAAATTACCTTTAAGTCATTAGGGAAAACCATTGTAATGTTATTCATATAGATAAGCTCCTGTTGTTGCATCGCGAACATGTTTTGAGGTTTCCAGCAAGCAATGGCGTTCAGGTTTGTCAAAGCGTAAAACAGAACTCCGGTGTCCTGATCCAAAAAGCTAACACTGCTTTGACCATTGTGGTCACGAGATCCGAGAGCGTGAATTTGATTGAAACTTTCTGTAAAATTAAAATTGATCACATTATAAAATATGAACTATGTATAAGAAAATAAATTTATGGTCTTTATTGATTATGAGAAAAAAAGGATTATTGTTATTGTCATTTTAATACTTTACATATTGAACTTACTGAAATTATATGTTAAAGAGGAATTATCGATCACTTTAAAAAGGTAAAATTGAGGAACTAAATACAGCAATTAAAAAGGAAAAATTGATCATTTTAGTAAAATGTGGAGCAAGTGTATTATATTATTATTCTTCTGATACTTACCGGAAGTATTTGCACGTCGAGGATCTCTCAATAATTCCGTGCTCACCGAATACTCCATATAACTGGAGAGTGGGTGGAAATACATTGTACTGTACCCATCGCCTCTGGGAGCTAGAGCCATTCCGAATAAACCGTCAGTCCATTTGAACGAGATCCCCGATACATTAAATTCTTCAGCCTTGACACACAATAATTCATTTAAAAAATTACAATTTCCAAATATCGATACAGTTTAGGATTGAATACAATTATTACAATTGAATGCAAGAATATGAATACAGTTTCAAAAATTACTTGTAGCAAGATATTTCTCCAAAGTTTCATTCCTGTATTCTTGTAATATTTTTTAAGATATTGTGATGTTTTGTAAAATATGGTAATATGTTGCAAAATATTTCAATGCGAATGCTGACCTTAGAATCTGGGTGGAAGGAATGATGATTAACGAGCCACGATTTATTCATGCTCCACGAGTAAACTACGAGTCCTGGACCACCTAAATCGCCTAAGTAAGCGTAAGTGCCTTCGCAGTCGTAATCCTCGACCGCGATATTCGCGAACAGAGAGTCGGGCGTTCTTTGATCTTCGGGTATAACGAACTTTCGCAGCATTTGATCGTTAGTTAGATCGTAGACGATTAACGCCGGCGGTGCCTGTTGTTCCGGTCCTTCAAGAATGTCAGTGAATCCCGTGTCTAGTACCCATAGCCTGTCGCATCTATCCGCACGAAGACGGAACGTCGAGATTATTTCCGGTACGTTGTCTCCTTTGTATTGATGCGCCTCCCATGATGGATAAGGAATTAGTCCGGGCGATTCGCGTGTATCTGGAACAATGAAATTTCTCGATAAATATTCTCAAATTTAACTTTTCGAGTGTTTTAACTATTCTATTTTCTACTTATTATTCAACTATTTTATTAACTATTTTATTTTCTACTTAGATTTTAACCATTTTTTAATTATCATTTTAACTACCATGTTACTTAAACTCGGATAACGTAATATTTTGTATAGACGTAACGATTAATTTCCTCGGATTCATCTTGACTTTTCTGCTGTGTTCAGAAACTTGTTTCAACTGAACGGTATTTTAATGAATACTGATTCGTATTCATTTAAATCGTTTACATTCTCAGTTTAAAAATAATTTGTATGCCAGCATCCACAGTATCTCGAATGCTTTTAATGATACAAATAAGCTAATAAACTAATGTGTATAGGACAAAAATATTGTATTTATTATTCAATATCAAATCAAATTGTCTAAAACTTTGGATATTTATTTCAAAGTCATTTACAATTATTTATATATTTATGTATATATTATTATATAATTCATATTATACATAATATTACTATATTATATATTTATGTCAAAATCATTTTCAGTAAATTTCTTTATAATCGCATCATTTTTCCTTTCGCATCAATTTCTGTATTAATCTTTCATTGTGTCCATTCTTCAAACGATATCGGTTCGCCGATTTCTCGCCATGACATTTCTGATACAGTGCCAGAAAGTTAGCTATCCGATTATGCGAGAAACATGTATACTAGCTTGATTAACTGAAACTCAGGCTGTTTCTACTTTCACAGTACTTACATAGTAACGTTTCACTTCTCTCGCTCTCTTCTCTTAAGAATCGTTGTCGAAACGTTTCTCAAGCTACTTCTTATTATTAGATTATATCTGTGCACAAGGCTCACGCTTGAATTGACAATTAAGACCGTCGTAAAAAATGCTACGCTTTACTTCGTAATTGAATGTGCAATTTAACAAATTATTCCTTTCAGTTCTTGAGTTATTTCAACGTCGTATTCTAACACTTAGCATTTCTATCTATTCGTCAAAATATGAACACAGAAGTTCAACATTCGAGTAAAATAAATTCAAGCGAGTTTCCATTTAGTTTCCATTTTGTTGAAATGCAATCACTGAATTTACATTAATTCTTTTATATTTGGTATATATTATAACAAATATTATTTTTAATATTTTGATAAAAATTCACCTCAACAGCTGAAATTAATGGAAATTTAAGATTTTAAATATAAAAACATAATATACTGAAATGAAAATGGATGTGATCGATAATTGTCATTAACAGGTCCATTCTCTATCTTTTTCTATGTAAATCTAGCTTACAATAAAATTCTATTCTTAAAATCTAGCTTACGATAAAACGAACAACAAAATATTCTGGATTGGATGACATTAAATTCAGGTTTGAAAACATTTCTATAAACTGACTGTAGAATTCCGTCAAGTTCACGTTATGTAACAAAACTATAAATCCAGGATAGCGTAAAGATACTTTCGAAAGTCTCGTACCCGATCAAGAGTGGAAAATCTAGTTCCACGCGGAACTCAGCCGGTCGAATCAACAGTTTCGGATTAATCTATACACTTTAATTAATGCATGGCTCGTTAGAAAGTTGTGCCCAAAATATTCTCCTTTCCAAATAATCAACATAAATACGTACAAGCGGAATCATAAGTATCGATAAAAAAGAATCAAGCATTCGAAATTGAAATAAATACAATTATTTTATATATCAAACACATACCAAGATCTAGATAAATTGTAATTTTAAGATAGAACAATCCACTATTCACGAACAGGACACAATTCTGTAACTTAAATTCTTTCTTCAGTTACATAATTTTCAAGACATTTAGCAGAACAAATTTCCATTCCTCAACTTCAAGGTCTGTCCCCTTCAATACAAATGATTGCCTATAAAAAATATACTCTTACTATTTCCCGTCTATTATTCATCTGTACGTTCGAAGTAAATTAACAATTATAGCTCCTACATAATCCCTCGGCATCATTGGAACCAACAAATTCTACTGAAATTATTATTCAACAGGTGGTATTCATAATTACAATAGAGATACTAGAAATCTTTTCCATTCAACAGATTATACAACAACAAGTTGTCTCTAAATTATTGATTTTCTAAAATATTGATTTTACATATATACAATCAACATTTCCATGATTTCCAAAACAATGGTTTTCAATGCTTTTACGCAAATGCCGGTTACGCAATATTATTAAAATCGTATGCATAATAAAAGTATGTTTGTGACAAATATTCGCAGCAAAAATTATCAAGATCGATATTAAATTAACAAAGATATACAAAAAAGATTGATTTTCTTGGAATATTACTTACTGACTTAAAGATCACCCAATATATTACATAAATAACATAGAAACACAATCGATATGATAACCGTGTCATTAAAAACAGTTCATGTTTTATTCAGTCGTTGTTGAGTCATTGTGGTAAAAAGATGTTATAATTGCGTTTCTTACATTAAATATATATTCACATTATCTTCTAACGCTATGTACATTAGACCTATAAAAGTTGCGTTATTAAATTACTGTTTACTTCAATAAATTCCCTTTCCCCTAGATGAATCTATTAAAAGGAACAGTTCCAGAAGTTCATAGATATTTTTTATCATCCTTTGTCCCATTCTACGAATATTGTTTCCGTATATTCTTATACTAAATATTTTCTATTTATACTTATTATTTATATAATATTGTTATATTATAATATATTGTTACTATAAGAGAAGATGAATGAATATTCACTGGCATTTAACGGAGGCACTCACCATTGGTGAAGAAGTAATTCAAGCTGGCGGCGACGCCGCGCCTCCATCTTGGCACTGTAACGAAAATCCTGTCCTTCGTGACTTCGAGGCCGAGGGGCAGATTGTCTTCCTGCTTGTACCACGGAAAAAGTTGCTTGGTGTCATTGTTTGGCCACTCGTAATCCACTTGTTTCCATTGGAAAGCCACCTGTAGCTTATCCGCCGCGCTGCCAGTACTCCACAGACAACTTTGAACCAGTACACTCGACACAAAAAGGATCCATGTGGAATACATTCTCGTATTCTCGTGTTCCGTCACTTTCGCGAACCTCTTTCAAGCCTCTGATTTAGCGATAATCTATAAATTAATATTTTTAGATACACGGGGCAACACTAGAGTATTTGCAGGGGCTCGCCGAAGGTAGTTGCCGAGTGCGAACTTTTATTGGCCCGCTCTTAAAAAACTGAAAAATATCATTATGATCTTTCAAAAACCTTTCCACCATACTATTAATGATTATACTGATGCGTTGCACAATTCGAACTGGATATTAAATCCATAAAATTCATACGTGATATTTGCTTTTTGTTGCCCTATTAATCCTTTGCACTCGAATGTTTTCCATTAGAAATATTCTACATTTCCTGTTGCGATATAGACAACATTCTTTGAAACAAATTAATGAGAAAACGTACATAAATTAAGAAACAAAGCTGTTGTTGTTTGTAATATTGTCAATATTAGATGATAACATTATAACTTAACATTATACGAAAATTAATATTATAACAACTTTAGAATATTGCTACATCAAATCAAATGGTGGGAGTCACCTCTTGAATGTAAAGGGTTAATGTTGCCGCCCGGATGCGGTGAATCCCTCGCGCACTCGGGTTAGCGCGGCCCTGAGTATTTGAGATTACAGGGAAGGGGAAATGATAAAAGATTAACCCCTTGCCTTGCAATAATGTGAGACTCGTGGTGGAGATTTTAAACAGAATTTAACAAACTTAAATATTACTCAGTTCTTGTGAACTCAAGTTAAATATTATTCTTCTGTTATCAACGATTCTATTTTACGGCAAAACTTGGATATATTTCAAGTGTGATCGACACAACTACTTTAACATTAATAATTTATTAGAAAAACAAAAAAATTCTAGGCATATCATTATCCTTCTGTTATCGATTGACTTTACTTTAATCAACTTTAGAGTAGACCGTGGATATATGATATTCCTACAATTTTCCTCTTTTTTTTTCAAGAAATTATTAATGATAAAGTAGGTGTGTCAATGACAGTTGAGAAATAAATCGTAGGGCAAAGGATTAACAGCGAAATTAAGAAGAGGGAATATGGTAAATAATTAGTATAGGCATAAAATTAGTAATAATTAAATCATGTTCGGCTAGTGGAAAACAAAAATGCGTAGAAATAGAGAGACTGAATGGAAAAGTAATAGGAAAGTGGAACATATTGTGTTTTCAATATTTCAATTATCATAATACAATATTACAATTTCAATTTGGGAATTTTTATTGTTTACCAAATTGGGTAGATCAGATTTAGAATTTAAGATCATTTTTTATCCTTCTTTTATTTCCTAAAAATATAGTTATTATTAATATTCTAAATTCTTCACCAGTAAATCAACGATGATCTTTTTGAAAATTACCGACGTAAACATAATATTATTTGTGCCAATTTTGACTCTACAAAATCTGTGGCTTGCTTAACGTGATCAGAATTAAACATTATTGTATCTCACTTGAAAGAGATCCGTGTTTAAAGACCCTTTCACTGAGAAAACCTTAATCATTTATCGGTAAAAGTTTCGTAACAGCACAATAAAACGACATTCACGTTTCTAAAACCTTCAGAGGCACGGAAATGACACCGTGGCTTGACATTCAGACGAAATTCGTTTTAACATCGTGCCATAAGCCATGGAGAACTAGAAATGTGAAAGCAATTTTTTTCTATTCTAATGTAAATTCATTGAGAAACTACAACTTTGAATCCGTGGACATTTACAGAGATTGCCAGTTTAATATTAAATTATTTTTATAATATCAAGCTTTCTATTCAACGAGAAGACTAAAAGAATTTAGAAATTTAATATTAACTTACAATGCTATGTTTTCGATAGATCTTGAGATGGATAATTTTCCATTATAAAAATTATAGGAATTCTTCGAAAAATGAAAATAGGAAAGAATAATTTTTGGTCAATCATAGCGCAGAAAGTATTTTGCAGTCATTAGTAACTCGTAATGATGCGTTATTAGAATGAACGCACACTAGATGGTAACCGCAACAAGGAATTTTACATCTATTAACAATGATAGAGACGCACGTATTTGTATAAAGTTTCAGCTATTTCGTAACGCAACGCATCGCGTTAATTATGAACTATCGTCGTTTTGGTGTTTGCACAGTAGTCTGTAAATATTCAACGTGAAAAATGTTTAGTGGCGGTCTGAATTTCTAGGTGAACATCAGATTAAACATTAGATTACATCACATAGTACTACATTAAACATCTAACACGAAATTCCAGATTTGTGAATTTGGAATATTTAAAATCGTTTGTAATAGTACATTACGATTCACATGTTTATGAAGCATAAATTATAGTAATTTAATATATAGATTTGAAATTGTATATTGGTTCAGTTACAATTTTTCTTCCGTTAGTTCTTATACTTTAGCATCCAATCTTAGTACTTGTAGAAGATAAATCCTACGTATAAATACGAATGACAATTGGTAATTCCTGTATTTAAAGGCTGAATCATTTTTGCGCAAGGAATGTCAGATACATAATCCTTGAAAATGATATGCATGAATAAATATTAATGGGCTGCTGTTACGGGAATATCCAGAGTGTCCAGTTAAAGCAAAAATAACAATGAGTAAACGTTTCCAACACCTCCGCAATTGATCACTTCCGCAAACCGATGTTAATTTCATTACAACATGGAAACGATTCATCTTCCACAGTTATGATATTTTCTCGACCGTTTAATTTATTGCAAATCAAAATTCAAAAGTTTACAACGTTGTTTTATAAATAAAAGGAATTAAGTGATTAGCCTTGGAAATTACAGCAGTCAATTTAATGTGCATAGAAAAATGTACAGCTTGTGATACGGAAATATTTATAGCTTCTTTTTTAGAATTTCGTGAAATGTTAATATTCCGGAAACAATTGAGAATTTGACAATTTGTTCAATTCTCTAGGCAATAATTTTCTAGTAATTATTTTCAACGAGTATCCTAATAAAAAATCGCAAAAAATGGTCAACAAGAAAAGCAAGGTTTGAGAAATAATTCCAAATCTGTGAAGCAATAAACAATGCTGAAAAATTATTTCACATCCAAATAGCCAAATTTAAAAGAGACAGAATTAAAGTCTAATCGTAATTTGGAAAACAATAGTGAAGATTAATTTCTTCAAACTTCAATCTTTTATAATACATTTGAAAGTACTTTGTTGTCAGTTTTGTTCCTTTACATGTAACACTTAAAGTTTAATAGGAAAAACATATAAAATGGAGTAGTTGGTGCCAACTATGGAGAAAAGAAATTTCGAATTTTTTAATCTCAGAAAATGATGGAGCTAATAAAAACTGTGAAAGGAAGGTATTAAGGAAGTAAAGTGGATATAAACAGATCTGTGATAAAAGAAAAAGGATTGAAAGATAAAGAAGGAGACTTAAAATGGAGGTTAGAATGCGAGGCGTCGACCGAGAAGGGAAGCGTGTGGACAGATTGTTAAAAAGGACAAAATGAAGACACAGGGAGAAAACCAGAGGGAGACCAGCAAAACCAGAAAAACCCCAAGGTAACGCATAATATGCAAGTAACAGGATTTATAATAAAAATATGAGGAACATTGAAAAGGAACAAAAAGTAAAGGAAGCAACAGGGAAAGTACAAGAAGAAAGCAAAACAATATTGAAACTTACGAGAGTGGATGGAAAAGGATAAAAAGGATAAAAGAAAAAACAAAACAGGTTACTGAAAAAGTTACTGCAAGAGAAGATTAAGAATAAAGCAAAAGGAAACTGTACTGGGATCGGTAATAAGATTCATTAAACGGGGATATAATAAATTTAATTTTTAAAAATGAAAACAGTACATAGAAATCACAATTACAGAAAGGCAGAGGACAAGAAAAGGAAGGAAGCAAAAGTGCACAGAATAGAAAAAACGGTAAAAAAGTTATGCAACACGGCAATTGAAGAAAAAATGACCGAAATTGAGCAATTGCCGGAGGCAAATGACAGGAAGGAAAAAAAGAAGAAAATTATTACGTATGCCGAAACAAAAAGTTAAAATAGTCACGGATAAATATATACAGCGAGGAATATAAGTCGAATTGGAAAGAAAATCGCCTGAGATGATTTACGATGAACAAAGAAGAAGAAAGATAAAATACATATATTCATATATATAAATGAATAAAAATAAATAAATAAATATTTCTTCTTCAGTTCATTCATCGACATAAGTAACTGCTGGTGTTTTCTGATAGATTTAGAAATCAAGAAATTATTGCTTTATCTACTTGTACATCTCGTAGCGTATTTTCTATTCCATTTTCTTGGACATATACGACAAGTACTTACTTGTTAAATCTTGTTTCACGTAAATTTCCTTGAACGTAGCACTTTAAACGTCTCACACATTCTCTAAACGTTTCGCTTGTTCATCCTTGTTGCATTCCTGTGATACGTGGACCCTTTGCCTCGTTTGTTTGCCAATCACTGTTTTTATAGATATTGTTAGAAAATATAAAAGAAAAGAAAAGAAATTCGAAGGAGCAAAACGTTATCACGGTGGTAACGTGCAGCGTACTGATGGTAATTTGTCAACGAAACCAAGGAACGTGGTACTCCTGCGGTACCGTTTGATACCGTTCAAGGCTCAGCGGGCACTGATCCGCTCGACAGACCTGTTAAAACACCATGATTCGTCGTTCCCCGCTAACCGTGACGTTATTACGTGCTCGCTGCCTAGTAGTGGAAATGGCACCACGACGACAGGAAAACCGTAGTACATAAAATTGTCAACAGGCATTCAATTTATTTTATCGCGTAGACAAGCTGAAAACAATGCTAGATGAAATCCGGTTGAAAGTCTATGTATACCAAACAACACTCGAAACACTGAGTTGTCTACCTGTGCCTGAACAATTAAGAAATATGGTGAAACAGCGTCATTTTGGGAAATTAAAAATTTCAGTGTAATCCTGGATCTCAAATATCTATTAAAAATGTCTGTTGGTTATAAAAGTAAATTGTGAAAAGAAACGGTATGGCAACTATAATACTAGTAGAATTAGTTTTCTTGTTAATTCAGAAACGACCGTTTGTATTGATTTTGTTGTGCATTGAATCAATCTAGGGAAACTGGATAGAAATATTTCAAAGCAAAGATACTATTTTCAATATTAATTTTAAGAAATTATTGCAGTAAATAAAATTTATCATTTTCAAAATAATACAAACGATTTCGAACAATTTAATCTACTTATTGCTTGTCCTTGGAAATACCTAAGATAATTTTACTTTTGATCGGAAAGTATGTTTTCTTTAAATAAATATGACACTTGAACGACATTCTAAGAACAGTTGCCATCTTTTATAATTTCAACATTCTTTGTCACTATTTTTATAAATACAGAAAATTACATTGAAGGTCTTAAGCTGACTATACATCGCTTCTAGGGAAATCGTAAGCGAAACAGGTAAGTAACCACATTTACGTTACGCAGTGTAAAAGGAGTCCATGGATCATTTCCAAATCGGTATTCGCAACACACTATTCGGCTGGCCAGCCTAGGAAACGAGGAGATTACGAAGTTCATCGACCAAAAACCTAGTCCCATTTTCCACTAACGAAACGATGAAATTCATAATAATGACTAAATGGAAGAGTTCCGTTAGGCTTCATGCTATCCTAGAATTAAGTTAATTCTGTACCGAAACAACCATGTTAACCGGAAATTGCGTGCCGATTTTTAAGTAAAACCTTGTACATTTTTACCGTAATCATCTTTTGTCATGTTTTTAATGTTTACTGTTCATTCTCGCACAATCCACTGTGAATCGTTCCATTCACGGTATAGATATATCAACAAAAAGAAACGACAAATGTTGATAATGCTTTCTCCCTTGATCTTTTAATTAATAAGATAAGTTTAGCTACTTCTCGTCTAACAAGATTCGAATTGCTTTCAATCGAAGCGAGTAATCTGAGTAATCGAAGCGAGCCAAAAAAGGACTGGTTTCATTGGCAATATTATCAAAAGCTTCGGGCTGTCAAAATAACCTCTCGCTAAAAATAATCTCGCAAAATAATTTTTCTTGCTCACTCAAGGCTGAAGATGCAGCACGTCTTCCTAGACACGCTCAGGTATTCTAGCTCAGTTTATTGCCGATAAATCTAAAGTACTTCCATGAAATTAATAGTGACATTAAGTGACGTTAGATTACCCCTGCTTAGCTTGATGTTTTTTTAAATAAACGCTCTGACCATTTACAAAACAACCACGCACTTTACAATATTCACAAAATTCTACAAATTTAAAATGCGTCTGTTATCGATTATCTCTTTAAAGCTGTTTGACGAGTATACTCGTCATCGTTTTTGATTGCAAATACCAATCAAGAATCTTACAATGAAATCCCACCTAAAGGGTTACAAAAATGTTAATATTTATGGCGGAAGGTAATCAAGTTTTTCACGTGTCAAGTATACTCGTCAGTACGCGAAAAAGAAAATTGGTAATGTTCTCATGACGAGTACACTCGTCGAACACTGTTAAAGGATCGAATAAAAAAGCACCGAAACAACTTCTGCATCTAACGATTTATCATGGAACAAAACGTTCTACGTTTTGCTGAATGTACCGGGTGTTCCGTGCGCTGTCGTAAGAATTAATAATTCCGATCCGCTGCGATTAAGCAAATAATTGGACACGTGAAAGTGATTAGTAAAAAACCGACTCCCGTTCGTCGAACAATGAGATATTGTGTAACAAAAGTAAAGAACAGTACGGGAGCAGGGGACTTCCCACGAGGCAACTGCGAGAATAAAAAGTAATACAAAATAAAACGTGAAGTGTGAAGGAAAAGTTAATTGCAAACTGATTTATCAGTGCGCTAGCCCCGCTTCCCATCGGCGGAAATCTCGGGAGAAAGTTCTGAGAGCCACTGAGCCTAAGATTGTATGCAAAATGTAACGGTGAGCAATTGTTCCCCGTGAGATCCCCTTGTTATTTACGACGCGATCTAAGACATCGATCCGCGGATCCCGATTCACGCTCATCAGTTCGAGTAATCGCGTAGCTAGCCACGTAACGAACATTTTTTGAGCGTTAGGTTTATCCCGGAATTGAGCGTCGATTCATCTAAATTTTATTCCGATAAAACGCTTGGTTTCGTTGATGATCACACCAAAAAAGATTAGTCACTAGAAATTCCGGTTTCCTTAGTCAATTGGTGAAACTAGTCGTCAATTTGTAATGATAAATAGTAATCGTGAATCATAGTTTGTCGATTTTTTCATTAAAATTACAATATGATTATATTATAATTTTAATTTGCCAACATAATTTGGCAATATCATAATTATAATGTAGCAATGTATCTTGACAATACCGTAATTTTAATCTGGCAATATAATTTGACGATATTATAATTTTAATTTGGCAATACAATTTAATAATATATTTCTTATGAACGGCGCGTGTCATTTGAGGAATTTCGAAACATTGATGAAAATAAAGCAAACGTGTTTCATTAATCATTGATCTAATCGACGATTAAATAGATAAATTAAGCATTAAAAATGCAAGCGTTATTACATATGTATTTGGAATATGTAAATATGCTTTGCATATTGGATAAAATTTAGAAGGACGAAGATTTGACCGATGACTAGCACTTCTCAGTAATTGGCACACTGCTACAGTATTCGGATCAACAGCATTACCATTAAATGAGTCAGAGAAATCAGTCATAAATATCACCGAAGAACTAGAATAAAAACTAGAACGAGGGCGTACTGATTACAGAGGAAAAGTCAAAATAAAATGTAAATACGTTGTGTAGAGAAATCTACAGTTGAAGCAGGAGATGAAGGCTTATCTTATCTTACTCTTCATTTACAAATTCAACACTTTTATATTACAAATGTCGTCAATTTAAAAATTCTTTTTTTTTTAATATTTCCTCCATGTATTCGCGCTCAGTGGTCACCGAAATTGTCAGTCATATTCAACTTGACAATGAATAAACAAAATCGTGTGATGTACAACTAAAGTAACATTCGTTTATGTACGAGTTCTCAATTCTATATTGTGTTGTATTTTGTTTGCATAAATTTTGTATAATTTAACATATTTGATCTGCACGAGCATTCACAGTCTGGTATTAATGATAATGGTATAATCGCCAAGAAGTAAATCATGCACTAGAGCAACCGTGTGCAGTCAAAGTCCCTGTAACGTGCATTTTTATTGTCCTTTACATCACGCAATCGCTCTGTCTCTCTCTTTTTCTTGTCTCTGCATACGAGGTGAGTCATCTGATTCTACCACGTTCAATTTCTTGCAAATTGTCGACTAAGAATGTTTGTGCAATGCAACAATTCATCCCGTCAAATACGTCTGTACAACATAGAAAACTCATCTTCTGTAATTTTGTCTTTTTACCAAAATAATTTTGACAAATCTAAGTGTTATTTAGTTCTTTAAATATAAATTAAGTAATCATTTTCTATGGTCAGTCGTTATGCTTCGGAATAAACGTAGACATAGAAAATAAGTATCCAAATTTCTTTCTTTTCCTATTAAATTATTAACGATAAAGTAGTTATTTCGATTATAGTTAAAAAATAAATCATAGGGCAACGGGTTACATATAACAATAATAACAACATCTAATATTCCAATTTGAAAGAAAACTGGAAGACAAATAAAAGATCATCAGAGTACACTATTAGTAAATACAAACTGTCAAAGTTTAAGGGGTTGAAAGACTATTTATTTTTTTTAGACATTCTTTAAATAAATATTAATATTACTAATACCTACAATGCCCATTACAATAATTGCCCTCTCAAAATTATTAAATATTTAAATTTAAACTTTCAACACATTTATCTTCCTATCTGTTACTCACCATTCAATATTTATTCATTTAATTAGGGTAACTTATATATGAAATCGTTTATCTGTTAAGTTCAAGGGACTCACAATAACATTCAAATCTTAACCCGTTCGCCCATAATATTGAAACAGACTCGCGAAGAAAATTTTTAACCGAATTCGATAAATCTAAATGTGGTTTATTTATTTTTAATGAAAATAACATATTGCTTGTCCATCATCGATCCTTGACCTTTAAAATGAACGTAGAATGAGCGTCGAATTATTTTCCTTTTGTATTAAATTGTGACGATGAAGTATAATGGTTTTATCAAGCACAATTGCGAAAGAAATTATGGGACAAAAGGTTAATAAAGGAAAGTAAAATAATAGAAAATGAATTCGTATATTGATATTGTACAATTTGTTTTTGAAATAATTTTGCAAGGGAACAATTTCCAAGTAACTCGAGATGGCAAAATTAGATGACTCACCCTGTAGATTTTAGTCAGCAGGTTTGACTTCAGACATCGCACCGGCGAAGTGGTTGCGCGATTTCGAGGTCGATTGGACAGACCGTATTATGAGACTTGCTTTCACTTTCGTGATCGCCTCTATCGCAGTCGGTTTTGCGTTAAGACACGGTATGCATTATTGTAACCGTTCCTTAGTCCTGCGTCTCGGAGGAATATCTCGGTGGCATTATTAAAATCGGGATCGTTGTGTCACAGAATTCATTAGATTCTAACGAGTTTCAACATGGCTCGTTCATGGATCATGATTTGGATCACTCTTCACGGTATTAACCTTTTGCACTCGAGAGGTAATTAAGAGTCACTTGATTAGATATAGCAAAATTATAAATAATATTACATATATTTTATAAATTGTAAAAAATATATAATTCAAAATAAAAACAATAAAGAAATATTTTTATTAAAGAATGCTATTTTAATTATCAAAAATAGTGGCTTCACGACTGATTCACATTTTACTGATACTGAAACGCGTGATCTCAAAGCGATGTCACCGAGAACTAAAGGGTGAAAGAAAACTACTATCCTCCAACGACATTTGGTAACTTGCCCATCCAAGTAAAGGAACAAGTGCGGCAAGGGGGCACGGCCACTCGCGATGAACGTTAACGCCTTGGTTTCGGCCGCTTTTTGTTATTGGCCGATTAGCGTAAACGAAGATCGCAAATGAAACAGAATACGACAAAGTGAGATAGAAGTAAGAAGTTGACGCCCATATTCATTCCCTATCTTTGTATTTCATTTTGTCGCATTCTGTTTCATTTGCGTTCGTTATTTCGCATTGAGCAGAGTTCGACAAAATCGGAGAAAAATAACCTAAAAAATAACATTGTCATTAAGGACGCGCTTAATTTTTCATTTTTCTCTAGATTAATTTTCTAAACTCTGCTTGTAATTTATTATTCGCAGGTTTTGGAGTAGAAGCGAAAATATTCGATAGGGAAATAAAATAGGAGAAAGTTATTTTTGATACATTTGATATTATTATAAATGTAGAATAAACGTAGATTTTAGTTGTATTACGGACATTAATGAAACAATAATTATTTGTACAGTACCTTAGTTTTTAATATTTTATAATACTAGAATATAAAAACGAGAAATCATTTTTTAACTTCTTACTCGAAGTGGAGCGTATATTCATGCAACGTGATGATGCAACAGAATAAATTCCTTTTTATTTTTATAACAATTCCATGGAATTGTCGTGCGCTTTTTAAAAAGTTTTAACTACCAGCACTCCGTTCACCTAATAACCTTTCGAGCATCCGCGACCTCCATGCTCTTTTCACTGAAATACTTTGTCTCGTCCCTTGCACGATTCGAGATTATCCACGAATGGTGCTCAACTCGATCCTGTTCAATTAAATCTCATGTTTCCAAGAACCAACGAAAGAAGAACAAATTGTTGGAAAAGGAACAGAAACGTGATTATACATGAATATAATTAAAATTTAAGAATGGACTGACAGAAGTAAACCAATTGTTTAATTGTTTTTAGGGAATATTAAAGAATATTCTGATTATTAATTATTATACATAATAATGTAATTATTTAATAATTATCAATTATTAAAAAATTACTAACAGTAAAAAATAAAAATATTAGCCTTTTACAATATCAAAGGTAAGAAGAGTGCTCAATGATTATGAAGAAAAAATAAGCGTCATTGCGATTAGTATAATCGTTTAGTTCATCAGTCTTTGAAAATGATAATTTTCATTGTTTGGTAGACGTTTTCTACCGAAAATCTTACAAAAGTTTCGAAGAATGACTGAATTAATAATTGATTGATCTGACGATGATATTAATCGCAACACAGCTCTACCGAATCAATCTTACTGAACAATTTTTATTTATTGATCTTGTTTCAAAAAAGTACAGGTGTGAATGTCACCCATGTTTCTTTTTTCGTGTTTCTGGGACATTATTGTCCCTTCTGCACAATGGCAGTCGGCTGAAAACAACAATGTTGTTGAAGAGTAGAGACTACTGCTAAATTTCCTTTAAGCGGTCCGCGCAAGAATAAAGTGCGACCTAGAATTAGGTTTTAATACTTGCATTATAAAGATCTATAATCAAAAATTGCACGTGAAAAAGAAACTAAAACAGTAAAACAGAATCCCACTATGTTTATAGTTTTTACCGAGAACGTTGCTTCTACTACACAAAAAATAAAAAAGAAAAAAATGAAGAAGAAGAAAGTTACAAATCCCCGTAAAATAATGTAATATTAAAGGCAAAAAGTTCCACCGAAAATATTGTACAAATCTACGATTAATTCGTTATATTTAAAACAGTATTTACTATTTTCTTCGGTTAACCCTAGAACGACACTAAGGGTCGTAGGAGTGCGCAAAACATTTTAACGGTCTCTACAAGTGTGCTAATAAATGTCAAAAATAATTACAAGAGGATAAGTCTACGCATACAAATAAGAAAGATAAGCACGAACATTAATGACAATGAATACTTGTCTGAAATCGTTAACAATATTTCTGGACATTTGTATCTAAAACACATTCGTTCGTTGCAAAATTAAAGAAAAATTAGTATGTCCTTAGAACAATATCTTTTTCATTCCAAACGAGTTAGCAACTTTTGCTAACTTACTTTACATTGAGCTCTGCAAATTCTGTTGATTAATAAATATGAAACAAAAATGAGGAGAATTCAAAATTATTTGGTTTCTATGCAAATGAAACATTTTACATATTTTCCACGCGTTTGCAACTATATTTTTGTTTACAGTAACAATTATAAAAACATAATAATCGAGAACTTTAATTTTGTTCAATAACTTTTCAATTTCGATTTACTTTTCTTTTCTCAATGGACGTAGTACACTAACTTTCTTGTGGGCTAAAATACATAAATATAAACCAGAAATGTCAGATAGATATCCAAGATTTCATTCTTCCTTATGTAACCCCACACAATTACATAGGACATGAAAGCGTTCACGTGTCGTTCTAGGGGCAACACAAATACAGAGACTGGGTCACCTACCAATCATCTTGATTCACGTCAATATGATTATCCATAGAGAAAAAGTGGATGAAAGTGAAATAGCATGGTTTCAGGCGATACATAAGACGAATGAAGTGAAATTTGTCTACATCAAAACACTTTAAAGATCCATAAGTTGCTTTTTCGAACAGTAACACGTTTTCCTTTTATATCAGAATTACAATACGTTTCGTTAACGCTTTAAATTCGAGTCTTAAGAATTATATTCTGGTAAGTACTCCTAAAAATAATAAACTTATAAAAAGAAATTGCTTAATTACAATTGATTAATTACAAAAAGAACGTTAATTAATATCAATTCAATTTTACTTAGACTTAGAAACTAATTCTTTGTCCTAAAGTTAGTAAAAAAAAGACTTTAAAGCGTCATTCTAATGTTGAATGTAACAGTTCGAAACATAAAGGTCTAAAGAAATTAATGAAAAATTAAGAACACTGTTGAAAAAAATTACTTACATCCAATGTTCGCCTTTAAACAATGAAATCTTATTACATCCACTTTTCTGTACAGACAACGATAACATCAACAATAACAAGATGGTGATGTCAAGTGACGAGAAGTCTGTATGTACAAACATTTCAACAAAATATCGTACTATCAACGACTCTTTGCATACAATCGTTTAAAATAAATATACAAAGACTAGAAGTAACC